ATCCTGCTCATTCTTTTCAAAATCTACAGTGTGTGTATGTGAACACTCACAACATACCCTTGATGAGTTAATGACAAGCTGCTTTGTTGTTGTGTGATAGATGATTGGGGTTGCTGCATAATTTTTTTTTATGTAATGTTTTGTAGTCAACTCAAAGTATTTTTTTTTTTTGAGGGAGGAAAAAACCCAACAGCAAATGATTGTTTCCCAAAAAGGTAGGACAAACATGGCATGTGCTCAAGGACATCAGTGTTGACACAAGTTGTGTGTATTTCTGCTGTAAGGCAAACAGGTGAATTGTGAGTTTGTCTTTTGACGCTTCAGCTTTCAGTTATTAAAGCGCATAATTTAAATGTTTAATTTGTTGTTTTTCTGAATGAATTTTGCTACTTTGATTTGTGAGTATTATATTGTGATCGCTATAATACACAAGATGTGAAAATTGGTATCTGAAAATTTAAATAAGTCATATTTTATGAACTTTCCAAAAAACCTTCAAATTATTTTCATTATTTTGTTTTTAGATGCTTTTTTTTGCATATTTAAATCAGTCAGATTTTAATGTTGGTCTGAAACATGTCGGTGTGATAAATATGGGAAAAGGGTAAGAAGAAATGCAGGGTCTGATCCTGATTTACAACACTGTACATGCTACATGTTTCTACCTTCATCACAAACACACCACGCTGAACGTGTGCAATGACGGCTTTTTCGTGTTTGTTCCCAGAGATCTGGACATGTCTGAATTCCTGATCAACCCCAATGCTGGGCCCTGTCGCTACGACCTCATTGCTGTGTCCAACCACTATGGTGGGATGGGAGGGGGCCACTGTAAGACTCAAACTCATGCAACCATGTATCTTTTTTTTTTTTTTTTTAATTAGGATTTATAATGTTCCCGGATTTAATTTCAACCCCATGAAAGGTCACTGGTAGAAAGAAGAATGTTCTTGTGGCCTCTGAGTAACCAGACAGTTTAAATCTGGCTTGTTGTGAATCTGTAAACTGTAGAATGTCTTTTATTAGTTAGTAATGCTGTTAGAAGTCGCAAATTGCTTTATAACATAAGAGCCAAGCAGTGGGAGTATATAAAATGACACACAGAAAGGGAAACATGGTGAAACGGGGCTCTAACTAATGGAAATTTTCATGACTACAGGATTTCCAACAGAAAAATAAATGTAATCAGAGCAGTAACTTGTGTATCTGGGCTCTTTTTGTTAAAATCGATACGTCTCCCACACAGTTTTTGGCATTGCCACGTTTCTACTCTTCAAATCAAAGCTTCGATTTGGTGCATAAACTCTTACAAATTTCCTTTTGAATGACTAGATGATTAATCATTGAGTAATTTCTGCTCTAATTGCTGTGTTTTCCTGTCTTTTAATCTTGTGTTTGTTACTTTTCAGATACTGGTTATGCTAAAAACAAAGACGATGGAAAGTGGTACAACTTTGATGACAGCAGCGTGTCTCCTGCCAGCGAAGATCAAATAGTGGTGAGTGTCCTCATTTGTAAAAGCCACAGACAGCAGGTCCTACTGCATTTTTATTAAAGGCAGACTTGCTGGGCAAAAAAAATGAATTATGTCATCAGAGTAATGCACGTATGTGCACTGTAATGAGGATGAGTTATGTAGTTGCCACACAGCCTGAGTTCTCCAAGGCATCCAACTGTGCTGAGACCCCAAAAGGTTGATTCTGTTCATCTGGACGTAATATTTTCAGTGGTTTCTCCCACTGAAATGCTACGTCCAGATGAACAGAATCAACCTTTTGGGATTTACTTACCTGGATGATTGAGCATGCATCATGACAACTGTGCTGAGATTTCCCAAAAAGTAAGTGTGTGGTACAGAGAGCTCTCTGTTCTGTGGTGGGGAGGATGATTGAAGCCAGACAGGTAAACCCTCACGGAGATGTTTTCGTGCATAGAGAGCGTTTATAAAGGCTTTCACATCTTGGAGGCAAACTGAACTTCAGATGTTCTGGAAGAGATTTAGCGAGCCACCCCAGAGGAGACCAGCTCTTTCTGTAAACAATTTTTGAAAATGGGTAATGGCTTCATACATTTTAACAAAGTATATACGTTTCAGCAGAGGATTTCTTTACAGCAGGACTTCATTTTGCTTTTAAATTCATGTTTGATGGCCAACTGTTGGAGATGTTATGTTCCAGGAAATAACATCTCCAGTAGTGATGATGTTGCAAGCATGAATACTGTATGTATCCTAATCTGAGTTGATGGGATTTAAAGAGATGAGACATAATCTATACAAAAACCAAAGCTAACAGTGTATTAGTCTGTCAGCTTCTGCATCCCCAGCCGCTCATTAAAAACATCGAGAATGTACAGTTGTTCTAATTGTTGTTGTGTTTTGTTTTGTGTTTTTTAAAAGGACTGAATGTAATATTAGGGACTACTTTCAGTAACAGATTAATACCATGGGTTTATATGAAAGATTGCTGTTGTCTGCTGATTTGTGGACTACTGTTCTGCAGACACATTTGACCATGGTCAGTGGTGATGCTGTTAACTTATCAGCCAAGGCTGTTTGGCATGTTCATTTGACAAACTGCACGAGTGTTCACACAGCTACATGCGACAGCTACAGAATAAAATTACTTCTCAGGTATCTGCTAGTGCCGCTAAGTGCATGTGCATGCCACGTTGTTGGCCATATTATTAAATTAAAAATATTGAACATGTAAAACACGGCCACACTGATAAAGATGTGGCACAGCAGATGGTTACATGTATTCAAAGCACACACTTAATAATGGAAACTATATGACTTAGTACAATGTAAAATGGCGAATCCCATTAAAGGAAAAAAATCCAGACCCTGTACAGCTGTGATGATGCAGAGACGAAAGCAGTTTTATACTAGTGTGTAAGGACTGTGACCTGCTGTTCAAGTGAGCCTCAAGTGGTCATTGAAGGGAACTGCATTTATTAAGCATGATCTTCATTTTTTAGACCTGGATGCTTCCATTGAAAAGAGATTTGGTGGTCTAGTGAATATTTATACAGCCCGCTTTTCCAGTTTATAAAAATCTTTAGTGACTGCATTTCTCATTGTTTCTCAAAGGAAAACAAAACGGAAAAGTTGGTAAAAGTCAGTTTTCTAAGGTGAGCCTGACTCCATCATGTCAGTGTAGCTGAGTGATGCTCTTTCCTGTTTTGTTTCCGTCTCTCTCTGTAGTCCAAAGCAGCCTATGTGCTGTTCTACCAGCGCCAGGACACAGTGAAAGGCACCGGCTACTTTGCTCTCGACCGAGAGGAGGAGGAAGAGGAGGAGGAAGATGAAGAAGAGGAAGGGGAGGATGAGGAGGGCGAGGAGAGGAGGGAGAGAAAAACCGCCTTGTCCGCTCAGGGAGGCTTGTCTGCTGCCGCTGCCGCCGCCGTTCAAAGCGACGACGAGGACCCTAATGAGAACCAGTGCAGGAAGAACGACGAAGAGCAGGAAGACGAGGAGGAAGAGGAGGCGGCGGAACAGCCGCCCAATCGAGACGTCGCCATGAAAACCAACTGAGGGAAACGAGGACATGAATATATATAGAGAGAATGGGATCTTTCCATCCAAAGCCATACGGACACACGGCGTGACAGCGGGCGCCACTGGTCCCACCCAGCGGCTCGGACTTAGCTGCTCGACAGGAAGAACCACTGCGGAGACATCAGCTGTTGGGTCAGGGGGCTACAGGGGTACGCAACTCTAAGAAATCAGGGCCCTCCTCTGTGGTTGGATCACTGTGTGTGTTTGTGTGTGTGTGTGTGTGCGTGTGTGGCCACGTTCGTTTGTTTAGAATTTGCTCACTTGCTCTCTGAGAAGAGTCACTAAACAGCCGGGATCTTTGTTTTTTTTTTTTTGTTTTTTTTTTACAGCTTTGACTCTCAGTTTTATTATTATTTTAAAGTACATATCTTTAAGAGGAATGCATTTTTGGCATATCATTTTAGCATCATCGTTTAGATTTTGTAAATATTTTAAACACTGAATTGTACCGAGTTTTCATGATGCGCTGAAACATTTTTGAACTTGCACAATCACCAACCATCCGCCCCGCTTTTCTTTCCTTTTTTTTTTTAAATTTTAAATGTATCGATGCCAGACATACTGCAACTTTGTGTCAGAGTTTTCTCACATACAGAGCTTAGGAAGCTGCCTTTAGAAAGCCAGTGCTGAGATGCCACTACACTAAGAAATAATGTTGAGAACTGACAGTCGTTGCTGTGTGGGTTTTTTTCTTTTTTTAAATAGCCATCCAGCCGAGCTAGCTCTGTCATGCTGCTGCGATCTTAGATTTTTACACATGATTAACATACTGGCATGAGCCTTGGAGAACTTAAGATCCTGCTTTTGCTCTGTCTATAGTCCTCTCTGTTTATAATTCTTCAGTAAAGCAGGACTGAGATATTGCGTGGCTAACTTTACAAAGAAACCACACTGCATCTCTCCATATTTTAAATATTAGGAAATGCTCTTTTAGAAGTTTATATCCGGAAGTCAAACCTATATGTAGTGAAGTGGTGTTTAAGGAGTTAGCAGAGATTCTTTACTCCTCTTCACCCGCTCCTGAAGTTGTACTTCATTAGATGGTATTTAAAGCTTTATTGTGGCTACGTTCTTAAGATTTTAGGCACTTTGAGATTAGGGACATCGGTGATTTCATTGTCTCCTGTTTGAATCGCCTCGGCCTTAACTCTTAATCTCAGACCAGTCGCCTTTTCTTTGCACACGGCCGTCACACCATCTCTCGATATTACGCGAGCACTCGTCTATGAATGTCCATGTTACTTGCTTGATATCTCCCAGCCACGTCACACCAGTTTCTTTTAACCCACAAGAGGGCCAGAATGTATGCTGAATGAACCAGACCACATGTATGTGACTGATGCCTTTTAAGTCATCCTTTCTTTCTTTCACTTCTCCCCATGGCCCTTTCGAGTTTGAAAGGTGATGGAAATGGGTGTTCTTTGCATTTTATATTACCTGTATGAATTTCATGGGTATTAGCTGAATGCGTCCCTTTTTTGTGGTCCTGAGCTTTGAGCAGGAGAGAGGGAGACAAAACTTAAAAAAACAAAAACAAAAAAACATTTTGGGGTGAGTGTGCCTAAAAGGCCTTTCAGCTTCTCGGGATCATGATACAGTGAAAATATTTTGTGGCACATCGTTGGCAGGATATTCCTCCATCGACGTAACTCGCGGTAAAACTCTATTCTCCATGGTGGAGTGCGATGTTTTCTTTTCTACCTGCTCTTTCCATTGTAAACAGCATTAGCGGATCTGTTGTTGCCTCAGAATATTAGATGTGTAACATGCCTTTAAGAGCATCTCTGTGCTTCGACTTCAGGTGGCTTTACCGCCTCAGTGCTGCCTTGCTTTTTGGGCAACTCACCCCATCCTGAGTGAGATGTGATTGCTACTATAGGCTTATACAATACTGTACATAAGAGTTCACTCTGTGAGTGCACATTTGATAAAATTTATTTATTTATATGTAAGCATTTAATAATAAACAATATATTTAAAACCTTGGCAAGACGTGAAATGTCGGGGGTAACGTGGCTCGAGTCCACACATACACACTAGTTTGCAGAGTCTTGCCTGTGCTCTCGTCAGGGAGGGAATATTTTTTAAACAAAGGATGATTCTGTTTTGGGACTTTTTTTGTAAAGATAATCCAGACATCCTTGCATGATGATGTATGGGGTGAGGGTGGGGGTGGGGAGTTACCAGGTTTGGCTGCACTTGAGTTCACTTGGGTTTACATTTGAAATGTGCATGTGTATTTATACACAATCTTCAATAAAGTTGTGTAAAGCTTCCTGTGCTTCGGCCTGGTGGTTCACTTTCTTGACCAGCTTCCATAGCTGCCCCACATCTTTGACTGTATTATTTTATAAATAAGAACAATAATAAAATACAAATCTGTTTGTATCCTTTGCGTAACATAGTTGTCAAATTACCAGATACTTCAGATTCTGGACTGAAATGTATAAAATAACAGGTTTATTTATTCAATACTGTGATTGGTACACATTCTGTTTAGAATTTACATTTATATAGATATTTTACATAGAGATGTAAATGTGTATCACAAACACAATCCAACTCCTCTAAACACATCACTTTTTCCTTCTTTGGGTTTTCTAAATACATTTTGAAATTATAATTAATGCAATGCTGCTACGCTTTGGATTAAAAAAAAATGGCATTTTAAAAATGTGCAGCATTGAAAGCTGCTCTGGTAGAATAAAAATATGAATCTGAATATTAGCACAACAGGTCGCCTTTAACATCTATGGTCAGGAAAGCATGCTCGGCTCACATCCCAGCAGTAAGTGATCTCACTGGCGTTCCCTAAAGAAGGTGAACATCGCTATGAGCCATATAAAGGAAGGCTGTCATGCTTCCCTTTGTTTGATCCTTTGCTCTCCATCTCCTAGTATGATCTGTGAGCAGGAACACTGTGTTCTCCCCGGTTCCTCCGGGTTATCCGGCCGCTTACAGCCAAGGCGGTTCTACCGAGAAGAGGCTCGTCCTTCTGACCAATAGGAGAGAGGAGGAGGATCGGCTGTGAGCAAAGCGCCTCACTCCGTCAGAGAAAAGAGAAACCCAAAGAGAAACGTGCTTTGCTTGTTAAGATTGGACGTTAGAACGCGCTGACATTAGAGGAGGCTATGAATGACAGGGATGGATAGTCTGAAATCTCTCTCACGAGCATAAAGTTTTCATTTTTCTGGCACTTCACATTTTTAATAGACGACGGCTACAGTCCGGCACATCTTTAAAAACGCCTTCGTCTGTGTTTTACCAGCTGGTGGCGCCCTCTGCCAGTGTGCCCTCTCCTGCTGGTGTTTGGTAAAGCAGTCAGAGGTGGACCTCTGCGTTTTCTCCAATCTCTGGTCGTGGCTACACCCGTCCTGACGTTCCCCGCGAATTTTATCCACGGCGCTCCGCCACATCCACTCATTTTATTTGATTTTTTTAGTTGGGGGGAGGGGACGCGCACACTACCTGACGTGCTGTCGGAGGCAGAAAGGTTAGAGCAAAGCGGGTCTCCTGTTTGGATTCGTACGGCTTTCTGCCCTTTAAACCGCGCGGATGTGATGGCTGGACAACTTTGTGCTCACGGCGCGGAGACCGAAGCAGACAACAATAGGCTCTAATGCAGCCTGCTGCAGTTCGGCTGCAAGATGAAGGTCCGCGTGAAGAGCCCGTGGATCGTTTGCGTTTTCTCAGATCCAACAAGTCCGGCAAGGTAAAAATT